CTAAACACTGGATTACTTGTCGGTTCGGATAAACAAAATAATATACAATAATAATAATAATAAAAACTATTCTTAAATTCGCTTCTTTGGGGAAATATTACAATGAGTTTCGAAATGGTTCGTCAATGAGTTTCGAAGTATTGAATGTTTCAAAACACGTAGCTCTCACTCACCTGCTTTGAAACAAATCAACATTAATCACCATTGCTTCGAATCACATAACACGTTTCAAAACACAGACATGCCATACCCCCCCCCCCTGTCAAAGATCGATACAACCATATTTCCAAGAAAACATCGTCATTCTTATTCCGAAACCAACCAAAATCTTAATAAAAAAATGAGTGCTTTCGAACCATTAAACCTTTAAATCCGAAGCACTTCATCCTCGGTGCTTCGAGTACTAAAACAACCAGTAAATACTCAAAACATATTAAGACGCCTCTGAGAGTGTGTGTACATAACGTATGTATACATTTATAGGTGTATTTATAAGGTAACTAACAGCGGTAAAACTGAGCTGCGTGTCAAAGTTTAATAATAATAATAATATTAATAATAATAATAAGTGAGAAAAATCCTTACAAAAGAGAAATTCATTCTTGTATGATTTTAAAAGTCATACTAACGTCAACACAGAGAGATGTGGTATAATAATAATAATAATATATATAACAGTTACTGAATAGAGACATGTACACCGTGACTCTAATCTTCAGTAATTACAGGTAGGTTGTGCCAGGTCAGAGTGCAGGTAAATGACGGGGAAAATAATTCATTGGACGAAATGTAAAAAAAAAAATATATATATATAATATACAAAAAGCCGCCTTGGGGGGGTGGAACCGTGTGGAACCATTGAGGAAAAAAACACCTTTGTGGAACCTATTAAGAAAATTTTAGTGGAACGAATGAAGAAGAAAATAAAAACCTTTAAAGAATGAAAGAAGAAAAAAACATTGAAAACAAAACACCGAAGAAAATAGAAACCAAAAGAAAACCAGGCGTTAAAACCTCTCTGAAGTGGGGGTGGGTGGAGGAGAGACCCATGTTAAACCGTAGGATAATGAACCATTGGGAAAGAAAACTAAATTAATCCATCAGATTAGAAACCTCTAAGAAACCATCTGAAACCCTTGAGAAGACCAATCTGTTTTATGCTGTTGCCGGAGAGAGAGAGAGAGAGAGAGAGAGAGAGAGAGAGAGAGAGAGAATGAAGAAGAAAGAGCAAAATCACAAAAGAAAACGAGGCAGGAGGGAGGGAGGGAGGGGGCACCTTTCTAAATAGGAGCAGAAGAGGAAACAGGTAAGGTAAGGTAAGGTAAGATAAGGTCAGGTCAGGTCAGGTCAAAGACGTGCATAATTAACCTCGTAGAATGAAAAGCTCCAACACTGACAGTATATATATATATATATATATATATATATATATATATATATATATATATATATATATATATATATATATATATATATATATCGTTACATCTATTACAAGTGATCCCTACAGCGTTATAATACAAGGAAAGACGAGCTTGGCAAGGAAGCACCCTGGTGAAGTACAGTAAATATGGGAGGTGATCTGATGTGCATTGTGGCTTAGGTCTGAAATGCGTCTTAGATTCTGAATGCAATGACTCTCTAGATATGCAAGATGCTACTTCTACAATGCACGCGACCTCTGCTTCTCTCATCTTTGACTTTGTTACGGCTTTTTATATGTACTTATTTGTTTTGTTAGTTTGTCACCACCGTGTTTATAAGCCCGCTACTATAAGCCAAGAAAATAATGCAACAGACTCGAAAAAAATTTAACTTGGGGAAAGAGTAAAACACACTCATTGGTTCGACCGTGTGAGTGAGTGTGTGTGTGTCGAGTGAGTAGTGAAGAATGACTCGGTCGACCTTGTGATGGTGAACTGGACAGGGTATTATAATTTGGGGGTTAACAATAGCCCTGAAATTCGGTCCATCTTTATATGGTTCACAAGTTCAATCCTTCTAGCCCTTAACTGTTCACCCTGAAGACCGATTAGTGATGACTGACGATAAACCTAAAGACACCTCAAGACAGAAACAGGTCTCCCCACCCCCTCATGTTCGGTCGATGACCTACACACATACTGGCCCTGAAAGTCAGTTTTAGCCCTAAAGACTATAACCCCGATACCAACCAATCCAGCCCTAAATGGATCCACAAAACAGCCCCCCCCCCACTAACTGCTCCAAGGCCAGACTAACTAACCCTTGGTGTTAATGAAGCGCTAAATTGGGCAGTGAGACACAAGAATGAATTACGTCACTTCTTGGTTCACCAGTAAAATCACCTCTACAATTTCCTTCTTATACAATAAACATTTGTTTAATATAATAATAAGTAATAAAGGGAAGATCACCACCTGTACTAATACTGCTTACACCGGCTCTCAATTATCTGACTTAGAAATACGACATCTTGCCCAATGAGACGTGGATCTACAACCAACACTGTACCAAGTTTTACCACCACATCTCCGTGTTTATTGTGTGTGACGTCACGCCTGATGGCCTCATGGCGTGCACCAATCGTCAGGTTGCGGATGGTGTGACGTCACCCCTGGCCTCATGGCGTGCACCAATCGTCAGGTCGCTAATGGTGTGACGTCACGCCTGGCCTCATGGCATAAGCCAATCGTCAGGTCGCGGATTCATTATGTACAAGCGAAAGGCGTGACGTCACCAGCTTCTGGATAAAAATAAGGCTTATGGAATAATAATAATAATAAAAATTAAAAAAATTCCCTACCGCGAGAAGTGATCACTTGAATTGGTGTTATAATACTCAAGGAAAAATCTTTGAGAATTCTTACCTAAGCACTGGTTCAAATGACTAAAGCGATAAGAGAGACGACTTTCGGTCTTATAGCGAGGTGCATCACAGATCAATTTCCTATTTAAAACATAAAAAATATGACTCTTGCGGCCGTGTTCACAACATCTGCCTGGAGAGAGAGAGAGAGAGAGAGAGAGAGAGAGAGAGAGCAAACAAGGAATAATTACACTAAACCACAATAAATGTCATTAATTTTTACAACAATAAACAATTTTCTTCCTTCACTGTAATCTATCCATACCACAATCACCATTCATTGTTATTCATTACCGGGTCATTAATTAATCGCCAAGGTGAATCACTCTTTCTATTGGTTAAAGACGGATCAACTGAGACCAATCAGAACTCTTCTCCACATACAGTATACATAAGACAAAAGTATACTGTATACTATGTACATTATATCCCATAGAAAATATACCAAATTAGTGTATAACGTTAGAGACAAGGGAGAACTTGAGGGGCTTACTGAACGCTGGGACCTATGGTTGACACACACGGGCAATAGTCTTGAAGGGAAAGCAAAACTCTTTTAAACACACGTAAATAACTTAATTCCTCTTTGGCATTACATCTTAAAAGAAACCTCTATATAATTCTACCCTAATTATTATACTGTATAAGCTTAACTGTTTTTTTTTATTTTTAAATGGTCTAAAATACTCCATAGAATAGCACAGTAGAGCACAAGGTGTACATAAAGACTATGAATAAATGTTCCAATAATGTACTACAGGAATTCTACCGTGCAGCGTTTGGTTAGGGTTGGGTGTTGCTAAATTCCAATTGGTTTATCCTCACGTTGTGTCACCCTCCTCCGTACCTTCATTATTATTGGTTAATCTCTTATAGCCAGGTAGTACAGAGACTCAGCAGCTGTCAACACGGCCACAGATGCACTACAAACACAGGCAAAAGTCGCCCCTCTAAATCCGTTTACAAAACAGGGAGGGAAAAGTTCGGATATTTTTTAAAGCTCTTTTTAGTGTACAATCTAAACTTATATATATATATATATATATATATATATATATATATATATATATATATATATATATATATATATATATATATATATATATATATATATATATATATATATATATATAACTGTCGAAATACTCCTACCGTCACTGCTATACTATACTACAATAGGTCATTCTGTGGATTACCCTCCGTATAAACTCCAAGAGTGTATAGATTCCAGTCGTCTATATTGATTTCAGTTACCACATACCACTGTTATGATACAAAACAAAAAAAGCGTGCCAGGAACAAAATGCCCTCGACTCAAGGCCCCCAGAACCATTCAGCCAAAAGTTCGATCATAAAAGAGACGAACCAACAGATATCATCTCTCAAAAATATGTACCTGTCACAAATCCTTTTATGTAGGGGGGAGAAAAAAAAGAAAAAGCCGATAGGTATCAACAAAAGGGGCTACCCGACTCTATCCTTGAATCGGGTCGTGGCTCGTCGTTTCAGCGGAGTCAGTCCTCAAATGCTCGTTTTCTATATGTGGGGGGTAGAGGGGGAGGTATGAGGGGTGAGGAGGGGGGAGTTCGGGGCTTTCGGGGCAGTTTGGTGTTCTGCCAAAAAAAAGAGGAGGAACGTCACATCACTTTGTCTTTCTCCTCCAGTTTACAAACACAACTCACACACAAAAATCCATCAAACTCGATTATTTTTCCTTGTTATGTTTTTATCCACTACGTATAATGTAATCCTATACACGTAGCATAAATCCATGAGGAGGATAAATATATATATATATACCTATATATATATATATATATATATATATAAACACATGTCTTTTCAATTTCCACACATCATTTCTTCCTTCTTGGTTATAAGGGATTGGACTCATTACCACACACGATAGAGGGAGTTCCGAGGTGGGCTTTACTGCGTCTATACAATGTTTGTGCCTTCGGACGTGGGAGTGTGTGTGTGTGTGTGTGTGTGTGTGTGTGTGTGTGTGTGTGTGTGTGTGTGTGTGTGTGTGTGTGTGTAGGGTCATCAATCCCCAAAGAAAGAGGGGAAGGGGATGCCGGAGGCGTTTCTTGGTGTGAGTGTGCGTGTGTAGGGGGGCAGATATTGCTCTAGTGAAGTGACAACAGAGGAGTGTGGGCGAGGAGGACACAGTGAGGTATTTCATGCGAGCCGCTCGTCTATAGTGAGTGGCTGGTTCTCCTCCACCTCCTCATGGCTGACGATCTCTGTCGACGACGTGAACTCCTCGTCCATGTGGTCCTCCAGGTCTGAGGTCGTGGACGCTGGTGCTCCGGGGGAGGGCGAGGCCGACCCGTCGAGACTGAACTCAGAGGTCGGGGTCATGACGGAGGGGAGGTCCCCGCCGCGGCTGGTGGGAGGGTCGCCGTGAGTATCAGCGCCCAGGATGTCCGTGCTCATCAGGTCCTTCTTCAGGAGGTCGTCCTTGAAGAGCCCTGACTTCAGGAAGTCGGTCTTCATGGGGTCAGCTCCTGGAGGCAAGAGCTTGGCCAGATCGGAGAGACCGTTGTCGCGAAAGTACATTGTGCGCATCTCGTCGCGTTTCTGCCGCATAAGAGCCTTGTACTCCGAGATGCGCATCTTCTTGCCGTCGACGATGCAGGTGCGTTTAGGTCTCGGGCGGTAGCGGTAGTCGGGGTGCTTCTCCATGTGGAGCTTTGAGAGGCGTGACTGCTCCTCGTAGTAAGGCTGCTTCTCTGAGTTGGACATTGACTTCCATCTTGATCCTGAAGGAGGAGAGATAAGTGGTAATTAGTAAGTGACTCAGCCTGAGGACTGGGAGACGAGGAGCACTACAGCAGGAGATGGACGTGGGAGTGATTACAACATATCCATCAACATCAGATAAATTAAAAGACGGAAGAAAAGAGAACTAAGTACTGACGTCAACAAAGTATTGACCATTTCACATTAACTTTCCTTCCTGTCAGCACTTTACATCTCAAATCAAAACTCGGATTTATGTTTGTCAGCATCTCTCCCCATCCTTCATCTCCCCAGCCTCCCACATCTCCCCAGCATCAATAATCCTAATCTCCCCAGCATCAGTGACTCTCATCTCCCCCAGCAGCAGTAACCATCATCTCCCCAGGCCTCCCTCATCACATCCTCCCCCTACACTCACCCAGGATCTTGGAGATGGCAGAGTTGTGCATGTCCGGGCAGGCCTTGAGGATCTTCCGCCTCTCGTCTCTGGCCCACACCATGAAGGCGTTCATCGGCCGCTTCACGTGGGGCTTGGCGTCCGTGTCCTTCCTTGTCTGCCGGATGATCTTTGCCCCGAACATCTTGGCTGCTTGGGGAAGACAAGGAAGGAACACCAGGTTAGGATAGGCTTCTTCAGGAGGAGACGTGAAGAAGGGGAAGAAAGGGAAGAATCATTAAGGTCGACCATTGCCATCATCTTAACCCCTTGAGGACGATCATTTAAGCTTCTTCCTCAAGGGGTTTGAACTCTTAATTCTTAAAGGGTTGACCCATTGGTCTCAAAGAGTTGGGGATATTTTAATAGTGACTAAGGTAAAGCTTATAAATTATCATATGGATAGTGTGTGTGTGTGTGGATTAATTAACACACAAATAAAGATAAATGATAAATATAAAGACAACTAACGTGAACGAACAGATGACCGGGCAGATATAGATAGACACATTGATAAAAGACAGGTCGATCGATCGAGTTAAGTCTTTATATAAATAGATTGATAAACAGCATCAGAGAGAGACAGATAAATATATAGACAGGTGACAGATGAAGGTGGTGATGACTCACTCTGGCAGGTGGTGACGTAGTCTTCCTCTTTGGCCTTCTCCTGCGTGGTGTGGGGGGAGGAGGTGGTCACGGAGGTGATGCCGCCCATGTTGCCTCCCAGCGAGGTCAGCGAGGTCAGGGGCGTGGCTGAGGGCAGGCTTAGGCCGCCCATGTGGTTTAAGTGTGGTGGGAGGGAGGAAGGTAAGGAGGAGGGAGGGAGGTACATGGGAGGGAAGGCAGGGGGAGGGTAATGCTTGCCCATGGTGGGGGATTGGAGGGAGCCTAGTCCCTGACCTAGTCCCTGACCTAGCCCCTGACCTAGAGTCTGGCCGAGGCCACCCAACAGATCCTTGTGGTCTGGGAGGCCAGGGAAGGGCGGCGTCATGTAGGGGAGGAAAGAATGTGGTACGAGGGAGGGCGGGAGACCGGGAGCCTTCGGGGACAAGCCGGTCAGGTCGCTGGGCTTGGGGCTGGCATCTTTGGGCTTGGTGAGGTTGAGGGGCTTCTCCTCGTGGTTTTCGTGTGAGGGTGCGGGCGTCTGTGTAGGCGTGTGGGTGGTGTGGGCGGAGTTCTGGGAGAGCTGCGCCAACTGGGCCGAGGCAGACATCCACGCGGGAACCTGAGGGAGTGGAGGAGTGGAGGACTCATTTAGTATCATTTTTTACACATCAAATCTTAAAACTACTTCCTATTATTTATTTTTATCCATCATTTCTTCTCATTTTATTCAGTCTTGATCCAAGTATAATAAAACTCTAAAAACATACCCCAAGTTTTAATTGTTTATCTACTAGACTCAAGACATTATTTATCGATGACTAAGTAGACTGAATTAATAAGTCCTCTATGTGGGTTGCTGGACAGTAATAAGACTTACCGACGCCGCAACGGAGACAGGAGGCAGTTTAGTGAGAGCTGACTCGTGTGGGGGCGAGATGGGGGGTAGAACTTGGGGTGGTGGAGGCGCTGGAGGTGCACCGTGAGTACCTCCCCTCAACCCCTCCAGTAGAGGAAGGAACATGAGGTTATGTGGAGGTTGAAGAGCTCCGAGACCCTTGTTGGCGCCATACTGACCATACAGCTGGTTCTGTAAGGGAGAATAAAAAGGAAAATAGTTAAAATTAGGTCAGTATCCCCCAAAAGAATAAACATTAGGTCAGTATCCCCCCAAAAGAATAAACATTAGGTCAGTATCCCCCAAAAGAATAAACATTAGGTCAGTATCCCCCCCAAAAGAATAAACATTAGGTCAGTATCCCCCCAAAAGAATAAACATTAGGTCAGTATCCCCCCAAAAGAATAAACATTAGGTCAGTATCCCCCAAAAGAATAAACATTAGGTCAGTATCCCCCCAAAAGAATAAACATTAGGTCAGTATCCCCTAAAAAATATATAAAATAGGTTAGTATCCCCTGGAAAAAAAAATATATAATCAATACCTCTATCTACCTTTACCTTAATTAAACTGTAGCTGTAGAAGACCTCCCAAGACTCTCTACGTTCGTCATTATTGGCTTTTATAAACGTTCAGTCATATGTCTACAGTTCAGTCTCTCAGTCACATACGCTACAGTCACACTAACGATGACGTCTAATGAACTGGTCTGTAATTCCGTTGTTTATTACGAAAAAAAACACATCGCAAAAACAAAACTCCACCAAAAATATAATAATCCCCCGTGCTGTACTATCGACGTCACGCTAATTTAAAATCGCGCTAAATTTCCACAAGCGTACTCTAATTACTTGGGCTATATATACAACCAACGCGTCGCTAAATAAAAATCCTGCGTATTTAAATCTTTTGTGCGTAAGTATTACAAAAAAAATTGAAATAAAAAAAAGTATTTAGGGTCATAAGTGCGTTATGACGAGGTAAAATAGTGGTATTATCGCCTTTAAGGCTATGAAACAAAAGATTTAGTAAAAATATGTATATACCTGCATGTATACAATTTTTTTGACCCGATTATATACTTGGATTTTTGTTTTCCATTTGTGTTCTCTTATATGTAACGTAATTTACTCTCTTCTTTCTTATTCTTTGTTACGCCACAAATAAACGAACGGTATTTATTTTTCTCCCAAAACACAAAACACATTTACCTGCTTCATATTTACATAAAGTTCACCTGTACTAATTATATTTCCTCAAAGCGTCAGGCTCATGGAATATACGCATTAAAAAAATATCTATCACTTATCTTCATCAACATAAACCTCTAACAGGGTATCTTATATAAACCTCTAACAGGGTATCTTATATAAACCTCTAACAGGGTACAGTATATAAACCTCTAACAGGGTATCTTATATAAACCTCTAACAGGGTATCTTATATAAACCTCTAACAGCGTATCTTATATAAACCTCTAACAGGTATTTATATAAACTTCTTATATATAAAACTCCTAACAGCGTATCTTATATAAACCTCTAACAGGTATCTTATATAAACTTCTTATCTTATATAAACCTCTTAACAGGGTATCTTATATAAACTTATCTTATATAAACCCTCTAACAGCGTCTTATATAAACTTAACTTATCTTACATAAACCTCTAACAGCGTATCTTATATAAAACCTCTAACAGGGTATCTTATATAAACCTCTAACAGGGTATCTTATATAAACCTCTAACAGGGTACAGTATATTATATAAACATGTCTTAACCTACGACAAAGTTTTGAGTGTAAATATAAATTTCTCCTCCTCTTATCCTATACCCCCAGGAGCCGCTGCAGATTTATGACTCCAAAAAACAGAATATAAAATTCCAGTATCCCGCCGCGGGGACAAAAGGTAAGGCGCGTGATGGGTGAATGGCCGCAAATGCTCAGGCCAGGAGAAACCAGCCCAAGAATCTTTCATTCTCTTGCAATGCCTGCTGCTGCTGCTGCTGTTACTGCTGCTGCTGCTGCTATTACTGTTACTGCTGCTGCTTAACGTTTCTCTCCTGCTGCCTCTTACACTACTTAGTGATAAATGTCCCAAAACCTTTTGTGGTGTGTGTGTGTGTGTGTGTGTGTGTGTGTGTGTGTGTGTGTGTGTGTGTGTGTGTGTGTGTGTGTGTGTGTGTGTGTGTGTGTGTTTTAATCTATCATATAAGAGTTAATCCAAAAACTGTTCTTTTCTGTCGTAATATAGAGATAGTTAGTGATCGTCCACAGCCTGTCCCCCAGTTTGTCTATAATCCAAGAGCCAATTTAGCAACACAACACAACCAACAGATATAAGGAGGTAAGCCAGTATGACGACCCTCTACACTGTGCTCTGACACTATGGTCAGGTGTCAGGTCGTCCACTATGGTCAGGTCGTCCACTATGGTCAGGTCGTCCACTATGGCCAGGTCGTCCACTATGGGCCTTACCAACAATGATGCAGAGTTTAGGTGGGTATAATATTCCCGTCCTCTGACAGGGCGAGGTCCGGCCCCTTGATGGACAGCTTCATTTGCACCAGTTCATTCATACTCAAACGCTATACCGATGAGCCAAAAATGCAAATGCCATTTTGAACTGTCGATGCCATGAATGACCGGGCCGCCCAAATCTCCCTCCATTTTTTTTTCTATGTTTTTACGTTACCTTAGGAATTATTATTCTTAGCGTTAAGGAATTATATCAATATCTCATTTATTAAATCCCATGACGAGTGACGGATTATACTTGTGTTATAAAGAAAAGCGGGAGATTAGCCATTCTTGAACGCCCCGGGAGGTTGACATCGCCGCCAAAACATAAACAATAAGTAACTACGAACCTAAAGTCTCTCGCCTGGTTGACGAACGCGCCAGAAATTGCACAGGTAATGCAAATGACAGACAATAATCGTTTTCCCCCCCAGAGCTGAGAGAGAGAGAGGCACAATTGGGGAAACTGGTAGAGGGAAATTGTACTTTGGAAATTGGATTATAAAATACTGATTGATCGCTCCTAACGGGACAACCCTGCCAGAGGAAATTGGATTTTGAGGGAGGTGTCGCCATACGGGTCATTTCCGCTCCAATATTCCAATGAAAATGAATTGTGTTTGTTCCTTCCATGTTGTGTGTGTGTGTGTGTGTGTGTGTTTTGTTACGTGGAAGTGATTCAAAGTTTATTAACTATTATAAATTGATTTTGCGCTCACAGACAGACAGACAGACAGACCGACAGACAGACAGACCGACATATTCACACACAGAAAGATTCAAGTATATAAGAACAAAAACCCACAAACTAATAGTATATCACAAACTAATGAATCCATGATCTATGATTCTCTAAACACATCAAAACATCCATTCGAAACAGCATCGACTGGCGTGCTCAAGACTCTTAACTGAACCACTCGTGAGCTTCAAGTCAAGAGTCTATTTCAGGTCCAATACTGGTTTACGAGTCTTCGATCTATATACGTGAGATTTATATACCTGTAAACCTATGAAATATGAGGCTTTAAACGCTCTGACTTGTGAATCTTTACACTTGAGACTTTTCGAATCTTCAAATCGCAAATTTTGTGGATTTCTAAACCTGACTCAAGACTTTGGAATTTTATACAATATCTGTGGTTTAGATTATTTAAACCTAAGACTTTTGAATCATTGAATATATATACACATCATTAAACCAGTGAGTAATGAATCTTAAGAACTTGAGACCCACAAACCCACAAACCCTCGACGTGACTCTAAAATCCTTAATAAGAATAGTTTCAAAGTGTAGAATCATCAAACTCAATTTCTAAATCACGAAGCAGCGTACCACAACACCATCAAGTTTCGAGACAATAAACACCTTTGAATCATGAAGCAGTGAAGCAATTAACTCACCTATGACTCATAATAAAGCACAATAACTAATCCCTCTGCTTCATGAACCAACGAGACCCTTAACTTACCTGTAACTCATTAACTTACCTGTAACTCATTAACACCTGTAACTCAATAAACTTAAAAGAGATGATTGACTTACGTGAAGGGTTTTAAGTGTGTTGTGGTGTTGCAGGAGTTGAAGGGTCTCTTGTTGTTTCCTGAGTGCCTCCTGCTGCATCTGTAGGGCCGCCTCCTGTTCGCTGGCCACCTGCAGGAGAAGAGAGAATAGGTCGTCATCGTCGGTGCCACCAGGTAACTCATTATGGTCGCTTAATTAGTTTGTCTACCTGTAATGTTTACGTGTACCTGTATTTTCTAGGTACAGCTGAATCATTGTGAAATTGTATGATGATTTAACTGTGCGTTTATGTATGTATGTATGTATGTATGTATGTATGTATGTATGTATGTATGTATGTATGTTAGGCTGAGAGTGGCTGGTGCCTATACAAGACACTCCTAAGCGTACCCTCTCTGGTTCTTACCCCCCCTCTCCCCCTTCCCCTCGTCCCCCCTTCCCCTCCTCTACTACCACCACCTCCTCCTCCCCTGCATTGCAACGCTTGGTTCCCCCCCCCCTATCTCTTTCTCTCTCTACTGTTTCTCTTAATTTTCTTTCTCTGTCTCTTCTATACGGACCTTCTTTATCTCTCATTCAACAAAAGTAAAAGACCAGAGGAGACGGTTTTAAATATACACTTCCTTATATTGCTCTCTCTCGCTCTCTCTCTCGCTCTCTCTCTCTCTCTCTCTCTCTCTCTCTCTCTCTCTCTCTCTCTTCTATACGGACCCTTCCTTACAATTGCAAATCCTGGCTCTCTCTCGCTTCTCCTCGCCAACGTCTCTCCCCTCTCTTATCCTTCTCCCACTGTCTCTCCCACACGGCCTTCACCTCCATTACATAGTTTCTGGGAGAGTGCGCCATGCCAGCCACGACAACACCGCCACAAAAACACTACCCACAGGTATTGTAGCTCCCCCTTCCTCCCTCTATACTATCCTTCCTTCCTTCCTTCTTCTTCTTCTTTCTCCCTGCAGTCTCTTCGTATACGCCAACAGCTGCATGTGGTCTCAAAAGGTAGTGGTAGTAAGGGCATCATATTTACGTCACCCTCTCTCTCTCTCTCTCTCTCTCTCTCTCTCTCTAATCTTCCCTCTGGGCCTTTTGCACGACGAACACAACAAGGGTTTGGACACTAAAGGCGCAAAAAGTGGACACGGCATTTGTACAATGGATGGACACCGGGCGGGCGGTAGCAAACGGACACAGACTGACCGAGGGACTGCACAAAGCTTTAACTCAGTCCTCACCCCCCCCTTCACCCCTCCCTAGCTCTCACCCCTCATGTACCACCTCCCTCCTGTAAACTCCCTGTTCTCAAACGCTGACCATGTACGGGAGTCTTACCTATCTACCTACCACTACTATTACAATTATCATTATCACCGTAACTATCACCACCATTACCACTATCACCACCATTGTCACCATCCTTCCTGTTCTTCCTTCTTCTTCTTCCTCCTCCTCTCCATTGGCACTTTCTTTAGCACCAACCATCCTCTCTCTCTCTCTCTCTCTTTTCTTTATTCTCCCCCTCTTCCTCTTCCTCCTCCCTTCCATTACTTTGTTATTTTTTTTATCTACCCTCTCTCTCCCTCTCTCTCTCTCTCTCTCTATCGTCCTTTCCTCCATGTCCCTATCTTTAATCAAATCTATTCTGTCTTGCCCTATTCTTATGCTATCAGTATAAGATGAAGAATTAGGGGAAACTGCATTGTTGTTGGGTTGAGGGACAATTGCAAAGGAAGGGGAGGAAAGAAGAGAGTGATAAATGAGGGATAGAGAGAGAGGGAACAATAAATGGTACAGGAGAAACAGATTATGGAGAGAGAGACGGAGAGATACAAAGAGAGAGAGAGAGAGAGAGAGAGAGAGAGAGAGAGAGAGAGAGAGAGAGAATTAGAATAAGAAAATACAAAGCAAAACAAGAATAGAAACTCGAGAATAAGAAGAATAAAAATGAGAATAAGAAAAACGAGACGAAAATAACGACTAAAAAAAAGAAAAATATCAAAAACCAAATAAGGAAGAAGAAACAAGGAATAAAAGAGAGAAAGAGAGAAAGAGAGAGAGAGAGAGAGAAAGAGAGACGACTCACCATGAGGTCCCCAGATGGCATCAATTGTAGCGAACAAACAATAACACACAGGAAATGATGTACAAAGGAAAAAGCACATTTGACATGACCCCGGGCCAAAGGTCACGTAATTGCCAGCACATGGGGTCAGTCGGGGTCAAGATGGAGGGGGAGGGAGGGGCAACATAGGTCAACGAAAGAGAAAGAGAGAGAGAGAGAGAGAGAGAGAGAGAGAGAGAGAGAGAGAGAGAGAGAGAGAGAGAGAGAGAGAGAGAGCCATCCAATAAACCACATCAACCACCAACCACATCAACACCGCTTAAACGAACAGTCACTCCCACAGACAAATAACCTTCCCTTAATAGTTAAGTAAAAAATATCTATATACGCATTGTGTCTCATCCGCGTAACTGCATAAGCGTATTCTCCTATGATCCGTATAATCGCATAGATGTATTCACCTCACAATCCGCCTAATCGCATTACCGTTTGCACCCTGGCGTATAAGCGTATCCGTATGTATATATTGTCAAGTTTTACGCAGTTTATTTTTCTCCATATGGCGTAGGGGAATATTTTCTTTTTTGGTGTTATTCATCCTTAATATGTTATTGTAAACTTTTAAAATTGATGTTCTACGCATTTACGCAATTTGAGGTTATATTTTTTATATACGCAATATCTTATTGAGTTTATTATTTACGCAAGTTTAGAATTGATTTGTTTGTGACATTTTTACGCAAAAGCAACAAAAGCATAAAGAAGTAAATTAACAGAAGTAAACATATATATACAAGCAAATTACAAGCAAAACGCCAAAACCGCAGCCGACAATGAACGCACAGCTAAGTACTGACCGCAAACACACGGGGATCCCAATATGTTGACCGCATGCGGCTAACACCAAAATAATGACCGCAGACAACCAATACGAAGCTGTTGATGACCGCAAAAAAAAAGAGGAACTGACCATTGGAGAGGCTTTGTACTGACCACTGTTACCATTGTCACCATCACTGCCATTGTCACCATTGTCACCATCACTACCATTGTCACCATCACTACCATTGTCACCATCACTACCACTATTACCACTAATACCACTACCACCACGATCACCATCATCACTATCACCACCACTATTAACACTATCAATTATTTCTCAACCTGACACCATCCCCTCCACCCCATGTCATCACTATCATCATCACCACATTCACCATCACCATTGTTACCTACGTCACCATGAGGTCGACGTTACAGTGATTGCCGTGACACATAGGAGGGGTGAGGGGTGGGTGGAGGTGGGGGAGGGGTGAGGGGTAGGTGGGAGGGGTGGGGGTAGGTGGAGGGAGGTGGAGGTGGGTGGGAGGGGTGAGGGGTAGGGGGAAGGACAAGAGGGAGGGGGTGGGTGAGGTGGGTGGTGGGTAGGTGGGAGGGTGGGGGGTAGGTGGAGGGGTGGAGGGGGTGGAGGGTGAGGGGGTAGGTGGGAGGGGTGGGAGAGGTGGAGGGGTGTGGAGGGGTGTGGTGGAGGGGTGGAGGTCGAAGGTGAATGATTGCAGGAGAAGAGAAGAGAGAGAAAGAAAGAAGAATTGTAGTGGACAGTGGAGGGAGAAAAGGAGAATGAACAGGAGGAGAAGAAGAAGGAGGAGGAGGAGGAGGAGGAGGAGATAAAGAAAGGAACAGATCAAAAGACACATAAGAGAGACGAAAGAAGTAAATGGAGGAAAGAAGACAATAACTGAAGGACTAATAAAGAATAAACAAGAATAAGAAAACACAAAATAAACAAAGCACATAGACAGACAACTGAACAAACAGACGAGATAATGAAGAGTAAATAAAGAAAGGGAATAATAGACAATGAACGATAAACCAAGAACAAAAGGCAGATAAGAAAAAAAACCGGATAATAAACACGGGTATAGACGGACATACACAGCAACAGAGTGGAAGGCATGTCCTGTTGTCTCTGTTAGGCCTCTGTTAACGACCTGTTGAGCCAGAATTACCGGGTGGTGGGGGTTTAAGAAGAGAGGAACAAGGGAAAGGGGGTGATAAATGAGGCGAGTTAAGACTAAGAACAGTGAAAGACGGGAATAGGAAGGAGAAGAGAAGAGGGATGATAATTTGAGAGAGATAATAGCCTCAAGACAAAAGGGAAGCCAAAATAAATAAGGTTGGCAGTGGATCAAGTTGCTGGACTGGTGTCTGTGAGAGAGTGAGAGAGAGGGAGAGTGAGAGAGGGAGGGAGGTGAGAGAGGGAGGGAGAGTGAGAGAGGGGGGCAGCGAGAGGGAGGAGGGGGCAGTGAGAGAGGGAGGGAGAGTGAGAGAGGAGAGTGAGAGAGAGGGAGAGTGAGAGAGAGGGAGGAGAGGGAGGGAGAGTGAGAGAGGGCAGTGAGAGAGGGGGGAGAGTGTGAGAGAGAAAGGAGAGGTAAATCTTGCTTTGAGAGGAGATGCCACGCCATTATACACTATAGGTCTGCCGCGCCATATAGGTCTGCCGCGCCACTATAGGTCTGCCGCGCCACTATAGGTCTGCCGCGCCACTATAGGTCTGCCGCCACTATAGATCTGCCACGCCGCTGCACTATAGGTCTGCCACGCCACTATAGATCTGCCACGCACTATAGGTCTGCCACGCCACTATAGATCTGCCCGCCACTATAGATTTGCCGCCACTATAGGTCTGCCACGCCACTATAGATCTGCCACGCCACTATAGGTCTGCCGCGCCACTATAGGTCTGCCGCGCCACTATAGATCTGCCGCGCCACTATAGGTCTGCCGCGCCACTATAGGTCTGCCGCGCCACTATAGGTCTGCCGCGCCACTATAGGTCTGCCGCGCCGCTATAGATCTGCCGCGCCGCTATAGATCTGCCACGCCACTATAGGTCTGCCACGCCACTATAGGTCTGCCACGCCACTATAAATCTGCCGCGCCGCTATAGATCTGCCACGCCACTATAGATCTGCCGCGCCACTATAGGTCTGCCACGCCACTATAGGTCTGCCGCGCCACTATAGATCTGCCACGCCACTATAGATCTGCCGCGCCACTATGGTCT